CTCAAGAACCTTAATCAAAGCACAGTTTCACAGTCCCCTTTACCATGTGAGGCAGCCATTAGGTTCTGTGGACTAGGATTTGGCATATTTGGGGAGGGGCTTTATTCCCCACCGTAATTGAGGGCCTTTCCTACATTTTTTTTTCATGCTTAGCTTTGTACTGATAAGTAGGGCACTGTTCCTTACTTGATGAATCCATAGTTTAGGGAAAATGTCAGAGAAGTAAACAGCAAATTACCTCGATGAGTAATACATAATCTGGTCTGAAAAGGAACTCCAGAGGAGACTGTATCCATGCACCCAGGCTATATTTATGTACCTAGGCTGAATTTTGAGACATGTCTAAGAATCAGATGAATGATGATACTGTTGATGATGATATCAACATTTATATAGTTAATGTTATGTTCTAGGTTTTGTTTTAAATACAATACCTATTACTGCATTTGATCCTCTCAGTAGCATATAAGGTGGATACTTTGTCATCCTTATTTTTTTCCTGAGTAAAACTGAAGTTGGGAGATTATCTATAGGTTGGACTGTAGGTTTTTCCTGCTATTCTTTAGGCAAAGATCAAAGTCTTTCTGTGGTCTTTAGTATTCTGGTGATCAGGTTCCTTCTACACCCCCCCATTCTACATTCTTTTTTTTTAAAAAATATTTTATTAGTGAAACACCATAAGGCACAGCCCAGCTCTATTCCCATCTCACTATTGACTGATTATTGCCCTTTCACCTTTGAGTCTCGTTCCTTTTTACCTCTGGCCCTTTGCACATGTCATTTCTCCTCTGCCAAGGATGAACCACAATTTTATCATTCTTCATATCCCTGTTATAATGCCTCAGTGTCAGGGCATTTTTTCCTTTTTACTTAGCTAGGCAAGTACCTTTACTATTGTAACTTGTACTTGACCTTGACAACATACACACACACACACACACACACACACACATATATATATATATATATATATATATATATATATATAATGTGCTTCCTTAATTGTTCTGAGTATTTGGGGACAATATAGAGAGTGAACGAATTCACCAAGGTGACATTGGTTTTGTCAGTCTCTTAGGAGACTCATTGATCAGGTTTCAGGATACTAAGTTGGCTGTTACAGTCTTGGCTTTTGGTCCAATGCCTCTTTTTACTTCAGTGAGTTTTTGGTTGTTTAAACACATGACAATAATCTCTCAGTTTGCTGTTTAAGAATGATGATTTTTAAGGTTTTTTTTTTTTAATGTCAAGTTGCTTTAAAGCAGTGTTACTGGATCTTATTTTCCAGTAATGACAGAGGTGGGGCGCAGTGTATTAGTGAATTTTCCTTTGTTCCTTATATAATAGGATTTATCTCCATATTTTATTGAAAAAAAAAATAAGAACCACTTGGTAATTGGTTAGATTATAATTCTAATAGAGTAGGTGCGTAGCCAGGTGAGTGTAACAGGAGGTTTTGGGTTTAAACAGACCTCATGTGAGTTCTATTTTTGCCTTCTACTTGCACAGGATACCTGGAGACCTTTTCATTTTGTAAAGGGGTAAGGATAATACCCCTTGCTGAGTTGGCAGAGGAGCTAAATGCATGTTTAGTGACTGATACATTAAAAAAGTTAATAAATGTTAATGTTCTTTCTACAAACTATTTCTTAAACCTCAAGAACTTTGCTGGAAGTTGTTTAAAATAATTAACTGGCATCCTGGAGTGGTATGTTAGTTCATTTTGCATTTGATCCACTCGCAGATGAAGTTTGACTTGCATAGGACAGCCTTTTGATAATTAACATGGGATTAGGTGATTTTAAACCAGTTTTCATCATGCTGCAGGAACAACAAAAAGAGACTGGAGAAATGCTATTTCTTTAATTGAAAGAACACTTTTATGTTCTCAGGTCTATTTTAATCTTAAGTGCCGATTATGCATCATTCTCTCCTGTTAACAGACACTTCTGTAAGTGATCTGCTCAGGGAGAAATATGATTCTTACATAAATACTGTACTATGAGAAATTATCTTATTACCTAATATGCCAAAAGAGCTAATAAGATAAAGGAATGGTACAAATCATTTTTGGACAATATTAAAACTTGATTTTAGCTCATGGAAATAAAATGTAATTTCATTTTATTATTTTCTTTCCCAGATAGAACAAAGGCAGTAAAGGATGTAAAGAGATTATATAGCTGTGTTCCAGGAACTCTTACAAAGGCGGTGGAAGGGATTCATCAGAACGGTCTCGAATTAAGATTTTAATGACTCTTCCATTTAGAAAACATACTCTTGCCATTAATGCTATCTTGTCAGGTATGATTTCCATATCTGCAGGTGAAAGCAAACAAACCTCATTTCGTATAGAATTGTACTTGCTATATGTCTGCAAATGCATGACCATTAAGGAACAAATGCATAATGTCTACAGAAAATAAGGGCAAAACAATTCTTAGAATTAGGAGTTTGTAGAGGGCTGGAGTGATAGCACAGCGGGTAGGGCGTTCGCCTTACAAGCAGCCAACATGGCCGACCCGAGTTCGATTCCTCCACCCCTCTCGGAGAGCCCGGCAAGCTACCGAGAGTATTCGATATGCCAGACACAGTAACAACAAAGTCTCCAATGGAGACGTTACTGGGCCCGCTCGAGCAAATCGACGATCAACAGGAGGGCCTTTACTTTACTTACTTTTACTAGGAGTTTATAGAATCTTCTATGGCAAAAGGTATAGATTATGTGCAGAATTTTGACAAGATTAAGGTACTAAGTATGGACTCCAGAAGACTGATATTCAAATCTACTTTTGTTTGTGTTTTGGTCACACCCGGCAATGCACAGAGGTTGCTCCTGGCTCTGAACTCAGGAATTACTCCTAGCGGTGCTCAGGGGACCACATGGGACACTGGGAATTGAACCTGGGTCAGTCGCGTGTAAGGCAAACACCCTACCTGCTGTGCTATCGCTCCAGCCCCTCAAATCTACTATTAAATGTTGTTTATTAGATTCAAAGATTATATTTACAAGTGAGAAACTAATGCTTGATCTTGATAAGAGATTTAAAAAACAGGACCTAATTTGAAAAAAATTCTGGGTAACCATCTGTTGGTCTGTGGTGACCTTGATAATAATGTACGTAGCTGTGATGTGGGTTGTGATGATTTGGGATGGTTATGGACACAAGCAGGTGTGTTTTGCACTCTCTTCTCATCACTTTGATAGAAATAACAGTAAGTAAATGCCATCAGCTTTCTATGGCATGAGGTTTTTCATCCGGGGTATAATATACCCAGGACCTAAAGGAAATTTAGTAACGTTAGCCTTCTTGTGATTTGTTAGACCTTTTCCACAAACAACTACAGAAACTATATGTTTTCCTATAGATTTAAGGTAATATTACCAGCAAGATGAATTTCTATTAGCTGTTAGCAGACATGGAGTGCTCAGATTGGGAAGGATTGCCTAGTGAGTGTACAAAGAATGTCCTTCTCTGGATATTTAAAAGACCAATTTAAATACCTATAGTTATTTCTGAAGTAGTCATTGGATAAATTTGCTGGAGTCTGGGCAATGAGCTATATAAACTGGAAGGATTTCACCGTCATCCAATATTTGAAAATAACGTACCCATTTGTATATAGTGTATTAAAATCACACCTTTAAGGAGAAGGGCTGGTAACTGGTAATCAGAGAGATTTGGCAGCAATATGTCATATACATGTTTGTGAAACTGTAATTCCAGGGGAAAACTTTTAGTTTGAATTGAAACTTGCCTTTAAAGACAAATTAGAAGTTTGTCTCTAAAATAAAGTAAAATAAGGACTTTAAGATTCAGTTATTCAGTTCAGGGCCAGGAGTTTAGCTTGGTTAATTAAATCCCATTCTTTGCCCTAGATTTAATTATCCAACCACTGAGGTATTCTAAGATAATAATAAAGGGTTAATGAGAAATGGAAGAGAATCTCACTATTCCTTTAACTAGTTCAAAGGGGGCATTTCTTCAAGTGTCATTTCTTCTTCATGTGATGTCTTATGGGGTATTATGCATTTTCAATTAGGGAGAAAATGAAAATGCAAGAGTAGCTCATCAATGAATGATCCTATGAAGGAATCACTATAAAACTCATCGGTAAAGTTCAGGGCATATTTTAATATGAATTCATACCTCAGGTATTACCCTGTAGGCCCTCCGCTTCCCCACCCTGTGCTTAAGGTTTCTAGTCAAAATTAGGAAAGTCAAATATTTGCCACTTCTAAGCCAAAGTGTGTGATAGAAGAAAAAGGTGACCTTTCTCGTTTAGCTGTCACTTGCAACACAAATAGTCTGTTTCCTTAATAGTGCTTAGATTCTATAATCTCAATCCTGAGTGCTGTGCAGCAGAATCCAAAGCAGATTCAAATCCCTAGTGAAATCTCGCTAGCGGCTTCAAGTGACTAAATGTCACTGAGCCTCAGTCATGTCATCTGTGAAATGAGGATAGTACTATCTCCTCCTCCCAGATTGCCGGAGGACAAAGTGAGAGAATACAGAGGACACAACACAGCCTGCCTGACACATCTTAGATGCTCTGCAAATGGTGACTTCCTTCCCTCTGAACGTCTCAGATAAGATCTGCTTATAAGTGAGTAACAGACACAAATGTAGTGGGATGCCAAACAAAATGCAAAATGTGCCGGTCTGTGACCAACCAGGGCAGTGTACCTCACATGTTCCAGAGCCAGTGACTCACCTGGATGTGAGTTAAATATAGATTTGTGTTCAGGAGAGTCTGCATTTTAACAAGCTCCCAGATGACGCTGAGACTGCTGGGTGAAGGCTGCACTTTTAGGAGCATGGAACTAGGGCAATGACTTTTGAGGACTGAATTGACTTTGAGGGAAAGGGCTAACTTGCAAAACAGAATTTTACTCTTTTTCATTTGTTGGTTTAATGATAAAAATAGCGGGGGAAATTTGAAGATGCTACAGGAAAATAAGTTTGAATGAACACATTCAAAAATCGGGGAAGCTCAAATCCATTCTACACACTTTCATTTATTGTCTGGACAGATAAAGTACAAATAATTCAAACACAACAGAGTATGAAAAAAAAACATTTACAATACTTTCCCTCAGAAATCATCTAAACTAGCAAGATTAACATGAAGTCATTCATTAAAACTAAAGTATACAACTGCCTGGTCCTAAGATTTTTTTTCCTTTTTTTTTCCCCCAAGAGTGAACACATTATAGAGAAGAAATTTTGGCATGCCTTTCCCACTAATGCTTAGCAAATGCATCAAAACTTTGCCAGCAAACTACGTTCATTCATAGCAGGTGATGTAAAAAGGTTTCCCTGAATGTTGAACGAGTGTTCTCTGAACTGAAATCTGGTTTTGTTTTTGTTTTTTTCTTTCAAAACTGAAAAGAGGAAAAAAAAACAGAAAAAAAATTTAAAGGAGGAGTCTATGATGCAGCCTTGGTTTTCGCTGTCTACCACTACGACTACTACTACAGAGTTTGTTTCTTCAGTGTGAAAACAACAATTCTGTCTACATGCACTTAGTGGGTTCAGCATGGGAAAAAATGCACAAAATAAGCACAAGTTATAAATAACCATAACGTTTTATTACCATTAAGACTAAACTTGTATTGAAAAGATTTTATGTAACAAGACAAGAAAAGCAATAGCAAATTTAACTATCAACTAGATTATGCATAGCGAGTAACTGTTTCTATTACCCAGGGAAGAGCGTGAACCCTTGTATTTTTTTGTTTTTTTGTTTTAAATATATAACCATACAAAGCACAAACATACTAAAATGATCAGTGCACTGGACGTGGGAGAATGCTCCCTCAGTCATTTTGTTCCCTTAGCTCTGTATTTTTCCCCAATCTGAATTACATTAAAATATGACCCAGTTGTTTTATTTTTCTACTGTGCAGTAAGAAAAAATATTCACAACAAACATGACAATATATCAAACAATAGTTCTACACAAGTTACCTTGATACCTCTTTAACTGTCACTTAAATATCATAAGAAAACATTTTAAGACATATACAAACAAAACTAGCCAAGAGTTACAACTTATAATAAATTAACCCAAAGAAAAAATAACTTTATATATATATATTTATATTGTATATACACATACACACACAACATAATGACACAATAATATGCTTCTTCCCATAGTTTAAGTAAACAAATAAGTAGTCTAGCCAATCTAGCTATATTTGATCTCGGCCATAGGCATCATCACATCTGCAATTAAATAAATAAGTGTTTCAAGCAACATAAACAGTGTTTCAAATGTACCAACAGAGCCCAATTCTATCAGCATGGGCTACAAAGTGATTTTGAAAATTCCTTAATGAATTTAAAGCAAATGTATCTTTTGTTTTCCTCTCCTAAACACATTACATTTAACTATGATACTAAGATATGTAAATAATTTCATAGCACCTACTGCTCAAACTAAGAAAGTTTTAGATCAAAAGGAAAATTAATCTTTTTAATTTTTGTTCTGCTGACATCCCATACTGATGACTTAAAGAAAAACTGTCTTTCAACTCATCTCCTTGCTTTTGGGTTTTGACTGTGGGGAACTGTGGTACCCTGGGTAGAACGAACACTCCTTTCCCCTAGTAATTAATAATTGGTTTTTTATTATTATTACATGCTATGAAAAGATATGAAGATCATCTGTTTATAGCCCATCCTTCAAAAAACAGTCTACGAATCCAGTTTAAAACACACATCTTGATCTCTAAAAAGTTACCAGTGCAGTATGAACGCGACAAAGTTGTCAATTTCCCCTAAATTAGCCAGTCAAAATATTTTTTTCTCAAATCCAGATTCTCTTGTAAAAATTCTTTATATTTTATAAAAATAGATTTTTCTTGAAACCCATTTTCAGCAAAGAGACCACCTCTTTGGCAACAATGTTAATGTTATTAAATTGTTAATGTCATCAGGTATCCCCCTGGCCCCCATCCCCTAACAGAAGACTTTTTAGTCACATGATATAAAAGAAAAAAGGAAAAATAAAAAAATTTGCAAAAGTTTTTTTTCATTTTTGCAATTTTTATTATTCCTCTTTAATTTGTGTGGGTTTTTGTATTTTTTTTTCATTTTTTTGTTTTTTACCAATCTGATTGGATCAACATTTTGACAAAAAAGAAAAATCTTTTTTTCTTTCTTTGAATCCCATTACGTTGTAAAAATTGTTTTATTTTTTTAATTTTTTTTTGTTTTTTGTTTTTCTTCTTCAAATGAGCGAATGGTCATCTTAAAAAGACCCACCTTCAAGGAAGGTAGTAAAGTTAGCTGGCTGGGTAAAAATCCCTGCACATTGCTATCTATGTATATTATATTCAACAACGACAGCTATGAAAGAACATTCAATGCATCAAAGGTATATTTTTTTTTGTATTTTTTTCTTTTTTTCTAAGCATTATAAAATCCTTTCCTGGTACACGTCAGGATAATCCAATGTTTTAATACTTAGGCAACACTGGCTTATAAAGTCCATGGTTGAATATAAGCCTTGAAAAGTTTGTTTCTCTCTCTTTTGTGTGTGTGTGTGTTTGTGTGTGTATGTGTGTGTTTTGTTCATATATATTTATATATATATATTTTAATAAGTAAGAATGGAAAATTCAGGACTTGTGGGCTTTGTTGGTTTTAAAGGAAACTTGCAACACTCGGTCTCCCAGGCGGTACCCGTTGAGGCTGGCGATGGCCATGGCTGCCTCATCATAGTTGGTCATGGTGACAAAACCAAATCCCTTGCACTTGTTGGTGTTGAAGTCACGGATGACCTTGACGTTGTTCACTGCACCGAAGGGGCCGAAGAGCTGCCAGAGGACACTCTCGTCAGAATCAGGGGACAGATTGTAGACAAAGATGCACCAGCCTGTTCCTGTGTGACCAGGGATGTTCATTCCGACAAGGCTTGTCATGCCATCAATGGTGATTGGGGAGAACCTAGGGGGACAAGCAGAAGGGGGGACTGGTCCAGACATCAGTCTGACCATGGATGACACACAGATGCACAGACACAGACATGGGGCAGAGGGCTGAGTGAGTGTTTGCAGGAGAGTCTTCATGGTTTAAAAACCAAAATGCAAAAACTAACGTCTCTGGCATTTCTTCTGATAAGATTAGCTCAACTGGCTACACAACACATATACGCCAAGAGAAGGGCTAAGAAAAAGAACCGAAAAGGACTCTAGGAGTAGTACTTTATCATATAGCTCTAGCACGGTTGTGTTCATAGGGTATCCCACTTTGAACCTAATACTCTTCCCACAAAAGACAGCAAGCTCATTAAGGAAGGGATGTTATTTCTCTATTCACTCTTTCCATTATTTATTCAGTGGAGCACATATGGGAATCTCACAACATAGTGACACGTAGAAAACACTCATTAAATGATTATTGACTGTTAAGTGAATAACATTGGTAAATACCAATACTTGGGAAATTTTATTTTTTAAGGCAGATTGGGAGATGGCCTTAGGAGTGTTCAAGTCTACCATCTTTGCAATCACTTGACTTATGTTCTTCATGATCTCAAAGTTACTGAGGATGCAGATACGTAAGACTGAACATACATTCTTGTCATCAATCAGAGGTGACTAATATTGTTCAGCATTTGTTCAAGAGTTCCAAAAATCACATACAATAATAATAGGTTAGTGATAGAGAAGAAAAGTGCCACCTACAGAGGCAGGCTGGGGGCCAGAAAGGAAATGGGGACACTGGTGAAGAGTAGGAGACACTGGTAAAGAGACCAGTGTTGGAACATTGTATGCATGAAACTCAATTATAAATATCTTTGTAACTTTGGAATTCACAGCGATTCAATAAAAAAAAGTATTTCACTCCTTGATATTATGTTATCTGGAATTCATTTCTAAGTGTCACCGGAATGAGATTTCAAGTGGTTTGTGCATTTATATATTTTAAAATTATTCGCAATTAGAAAAGCAGAAAACTGTTATTTGCTTAAATACAACTACCTTTGTATTAGTTTTCTAAAGCCTCAGTTTCCATGTAATCTTGAAAAGCAAAACAATCCTTCAGATTCTATGCACTATCTAGTAAAATATATTCAAGTTCAATTCATGATGACTGTACCAGATAATAAAACTGGGTTACCAGCACTTAGAGCAGAACAGTATTTATTAACAGTTTGTTTCATACTGAACATATATAGGAGCATATATATTTAACATTTTTCACTTTTTAAATTATTTATTTATTTATTTCCTGAAGGTAAGGCTAAGGAGAGAGGTAGCAAAAACTGGAGTACATATGATCTAGGACTGTCTTAAAAATATGTACTATTCCTGGAAATGTGCAAGTCCGATAAAAGAATAGTTTTTTAGCTAAGGAGATAATCAAATAAATAGGTGAAATATAACTCAGAGATATTACTTTTGGTATTGCTGAGTTAAGTCAACAACAAAACCAAAATAAAGCCCCAACCAACATGGCATGGGTTCCTAGAAGGGCAAATCCCTGTCTAACTGTTATTTGCATTATCTCGGACGTCTGTCTTCTCAACCTCATTTACCTTCATAATTTAACCCCCTTCGGTTTGTTTATAGGCAGAGAACCATATTCAGGGCCAGCAAAGAAGTGTCAACTCTTACTAGTAAAGGCTACCTAGGGCGCGTTGTTACTGGGTCCGGATCTAGTTTTACCAGGAAAGGAGTTGCTGCTTGTGTCAACTTGTAATGGAAACGAGAGGAAGTCACAGCCACGTGTTGCAGCTGTCTCTCTGACCTCACATGTATAAAGATTTATTCAACTGAACCTCACCAAAGCCAGAGAGGAGCAAAGGGATGAGACAGCTGGGAAAGACGATTAAAAGTAATTGGAAACAGGTAATCAGTATGTTAGAGAGGTGGAGGTAGTTCACAGTTATCTCCACTGGGGGACAGGGGTGGGGGGAGCTTCCAGAGTCTGGAGCTCGAAGAGTGAAGTCCATAGTCCAATTACTTCCTCCACTGTGTGCCAGTTTCCAGAGCTGGAGTACTTACCAGGCATGGCAAAGTGGTGAAAGAACTGCCTCGAACTGGGAGTAGGACGTGCATGATTTAAGACCACGTCTCTTTCCCTTGACTGTAGGAAGGGGAATTAAAGTGTGCAGCTCTACTGAGCAGGATGATGAAGATGCCATGTCCCTAGGAGCTCAGTGGAGCTTATCAAAAGCACATATGGGAATCTGTGGACACATTGACACTAGGCACTTAACTTGCTGAGATTCAGCTTTCAGAATGGGTCTGGAATTACTTTTGAAACTGCATTCAGAGACCCCCCCCCCAAAAAAAAAGCCTTGACCCTACTTGCATCCCCAACCCCACAAAAGGGCTCCAATTGAAAGAAACAGCAAGTTAAAAACATACATACAAATACAACTCAGGGAGGATTTATATTAACCGTTAAAACCTGTAACAAAAGAAACCCCTGGTTGAGGTGCACACAGATACCCTTCATTCTCAGGCCGTGCCCTGAAATGCACTAAGGTGCAGGCAGGAGTCAGGTCATCCACGCATTTAATTCATGCTTTAGCCAGGGCTGGTAGTACAAAATCAAATTTTTCCACTGACCATCATAAGACTGTCAACCACGATTAGTAAAATGTTCTAATTTTGATTTGCTGGAATCTGCCCTCTTAACTGAATCTTGGCATTGATAATGCAAAACAGTTGCTCTGCAAGTTTGCAAAATCAGTTGGCAAAGAGTTGGCGCCTTCCCCCTGAGGGGAGCCTTTCAGGACCAGATTATCAAGGGCTTGGTAGCTGTGGCACCTGAACCGTAGGAGAAGCCCACCTGCAAATGAAAGAAAAAAGTGAAACACACAAACACACTTTGTGTGCCCTAAAAGAAACAAAACCAACTGAGGTCCAAAATTAAAATTAAGAATTTGACATGCTGGTGGAAGAAAAAGAAGAATTTAAAAAAAAGTAAAGTTAGTGAATTAAAAAAAAAATTCTAGCCCCAGTCTGTGCCAACACGGACATCTGGCAATCTGTGGAGTTTTAATTACCTCTTTACGCCATAGGCCATATTAAGCAAATTGTCCAGCCTGCAAAGAGAAGGAGGGTCTCTGGGTTAATGCCTCACAGATGGCAAGATCGCTCAATGGAACTATTAATAAGAATGCTCCATTTTCAAAGAAGAAAAACTCAACAACTTTCCCCAGTGCTAGGAGTCTATCCACCAGTAGTTTCCCCCTTTCCTGCCTCCAACTACCAGTAATTCAAGTTCAGGTCAATGTTAGAGTTTAAAGTCAGTGTCTAATTAATCTTTTATATTAAAGTTTGAATTAATCCCATTTTCCCCCACCTCTCAAAACATTTATATGTATTTTATTTTTTGTTTTCTGGACCAACTTGGTGGTACTTTGGGGATCATTCCTGGCATTGCTAAGGGGACCATGTGGTGCTGGAATTCAAACCCAGACTCCAGCATGCAAAACATGAACTCCAGTCCTTTGAACTATCTTCCTGGCCCAGGATTTTACCTTATGTTGTATAAGGTAAAAAAGGTTAAAAAGATGAGACGTTTAAAGTTTATCGCATTTTACTATAAATTAAACTTCTGAATAAAGTATGTAGATACAGATTAATAGCATACACACACACTCACACACACACATACCCCACATATTAGAATAAATCTTTCCCTATAACCTAGCTACATTAGCTAAATCTTCTTACCACACACATTTGGGTTGGGTGGTTGGGAGAAATGAGGGCCTGGGGACTAAGATTAAAAAAATTACTTTACTATTTACAACCTGAAAGAAATTCTCAGGAAAAAGCCATTATGTTATAATCTCTCTTATTTTCAGTACTTTACTTAGGGACAAGCTATTCACACTACGGGGCAGTAGTAACCATAGTTTCCGCCATTAGAAGCCTGCTGGAAAGGCTTTTTATATAAATACTGCATGTGCTCTTACACAAAATAAAAATTAGATGACTTGGACTCTTGTTGAAATCATTAACCATTTCAAATTTAGGGGCACAGGAGGACACTAAAAAGGGTGATTTTTCTCCTCACTGTAGCAAGACAGAAGGTCTTCCTTTCTTCTTTTGAAAAGGAGAAAAACCCTTTCATTAAATGGAAATTGGGACATGGGTGGAAGAAGATAATTATTTGAATTATTATAGGTAGGGCAAGGATACTATCTTTTCTTTTTTTCACAGCAGAGGCTATTCAAGGCTGGACTAGCTTCGTGGAGAGAAATCTGCATTTCAGAAGTGTCCTTGGAGATGGGAAGTCTCCATTACACCAGGAATTTCCTGGGATTTGGTACCAAAAGGAAACACTAACAAGGTTTGCACAAAACTATCCTCCCTGTGTCCTCAAAGTCTTATGACTTAACAGATGGAGTCAAGTTAACACAAAAGGGAGTAGCCAGTGCTAGCTCAAAGGAGTCAGGCATATGCCTGGCACGTGCAGAATTCTGAGTTTGATCCTAGGCACCACATGCCCCTCCAGTCTACCCCTCTGCCCCAAGAATCCATGGATGTAGTTCCTGGCTGCCCCAAACTCTGCTGGGGAGGCCTCTGAACCCACAGAAAGAATAATCAAGCCAAAAAGTTAGCTACAGAAGAAAGGAAGACAGCTCAAACCATTCCCACTGGTAAGCATCAGCCTCTTGTACTCTTTCCTCTGATTTTGGTAGCAGACACTGACAGACTTAAGTTTAAGCTGCTGAATACAGTCATTTTATCTGTGCTTTAACTTTGGCTGAAACAACCCCTTTGTTTGGTTAGGTGCAGAAATTTTGTTTCAAACAAAAAATCTGAGTTTAACCACACTGTCACCATGGTAGTTGGAAGTGGGGTTTGGGAGAACATCTGGTCCAAGCAGTTGGTTTTGTTAGAGTGGAAACTGAGGCTCAGGGGGAATTTTTCACAGTGATTCCTGGAGGTGGAGATTCTTACCCTTGGTCCATCCTTTAGGGCTCTGGAGTTCCCTGGCCCTAACCCAGCTCCATACTTTGCAGCAGAACCCTATGGGCATGCCTACCTGAACCTCTGAGCCTGGTGGTGAAGTGGGCCAGGGTAGCGCCGGTTGGGGGACTGGTAGAGCTGGGAGAGCAGGGCCTGGCTGGACTTCTGGCTGGGGTTGTTGGCAAACTTCACAGTAATCGGTTCCGTAGCACCGCTAGGCTTCTGGCCATTCAGCCCTTTGATGGCTTCTTCAGCCTCAATCCTCTTGTCAAAGCGGATGAATCCCACTCCTCTGGACACTCCTGGAGTAAGAGAAAGAAGCTTCATGAGGAGTGGATAAACCAGTTTGGTTAAACTGGTATATGTCTCTGGAAAGATATGGGCTGGGCCTCACGGACATTCTATGGGGAGTCAACCCATAAGTGGGGCCGGGGTTGCGTCTGACTCTGGGAATCTCTCTCATGCATCCAAACACATTTTCCTGGTTTGTCTGCCATCACAGCTTATAGCAGATGATTCCCACTCATGGAACCAGGTATCCATCTCCCACACCTGTTTCTTCCCGCCCTTAACCATAGCCCCACTCCATCCTCTATCTCTTTGAGTTTCTATAATTTATCACCCACAGTTCAGTGATGATCCTCCATGTCCTCTAACTAGCAACTAAATAATCTATTTGAAAAGCAAACTGACCATATCATACCCTTTAAAATATCTTCTATACCTTTTCAACTTTGTACCTTGTATGTGATTCCAGCAAATTAAAAAAAGATACAAAACCCACAAATGCTCTTTCAAGGTCCCACTGCAGATGACGTCCAGATTCTTCACACAGCATCTAATGCCCCTGACAATTGGACTTCAGGTGGTCTATTGAGCCTCAGGTCAGACTCACCAAACTGCCAGATATCATTTGAGCAGGCTGTATTCCTCCTTGCTTCCCATCCTTAGGATAAGTCCTATCTCCCTATTAGCTAGGTGAATAGCAACTTTCTAGGTAAGAAGCTAGGTGGATAGCATCTTTCTAGGTAAGAAGCATCCTCCCCTAACCTTATTCAAACATCACCTCCTCAATGGAGCCTTCCCAGCAATCCCCAGCAGGCATAGTGTGCCTTCCTCGTCTTCTCATAAGATGCTGGGCAGCTGGGAGCTCATCATACTAGAATCTTGTAAGGGTGGGGATGGTGCATCCTTCCTCCCTGAATCCTGGGATCTCTCTATACAGTGTCTGGGGCAGAGCTGGCAGTGAGGGTTTTTGCCATGAGTCAAATGATAAACACATGTTAACCTACTCTTAAGGGGTGTTTTAAATTGGAATAAATTTGGACTAGGTCAAAGCATTTTTCATTAAAAATGCAACTGGAGCTGCCTTATATTTCTTAATGAGGTCATGATTGCCTTTCTTCATTTTGGACAAAGTGCTGTAGTGCGAGAACTTGACAACTATCCCTGCTCTGCTACAAACTCACCAGATGGAAGTCAGATTCCCCACTTTTGATCTTTTTCCCCTTATGTACGAATGAGGCAGTTAATGTACCGTTTAATTCTATAATACTATCACTGGAGCTATACACATAGGTTCTTTTCACTTGCAAAAGAAATGTTATTTGGTCGGGTTGGAGTTGACTTTGAAGGTCACACAGTCCCACTCTCAACCTGATGCCTGAATCCTCTTTACAACCTTGCCAAGTAGTCTTGCTGCTGCTGGAACAGTTCCCATGATGCAGATCTCCTGCCTCCCAAGATGGCCCATTTTACACTTAGTGGGTTGACTGCAAAGAAATCTTTCTCTGAAGACAAAAATCTATTAACACATGATCCACAACCTTTCCCTTTAGTAACCATTAGCACTCTGTTCCTCAGGGTCACAGGGCACTGGCTGGTGACACTGAGCACTAAGGAAAAAAGGACAAAGAAACACTTAACCTGTGACTTGATCAACCAGGATTCTCGAGGTGATGATACGGCCATATTGTGAGAAAAGCTGCTCCAGTTCCTTCTGGGTCATGGTTTTGGGAAGGCCGCTAACGTAGAGGTTAGCATCCCTGATTGAGGCAGAGCTTGGACGGGCATATGAGACCTAGGAAAAGGCAAGAGGAGCTGCATCCATTACAGGCAATCATCCTCAAGGAGAGACTGAGCCAACCACCAAGGTGACACACCCGTCTATCCTCCTAACTCAGGGAGTCTGTTTAATCACTCAGTAATCAGAGTTTTAGTTATAATGAGAACCACGAGAATTAGCAATAGAGGAACAAAAGGAGAGTTGACAATAACTTAAAACAAATGCATAGATAAGGGTCTCTAAGTGCAGAACAAAATAGTTACTGTATGGCAGCTGTTAAATGCAGAACTACCCACGCACAGAGTTCTGAAGATTTACCTCCAGGATGTGGGTGTATAAGATGATTTACTGTATCCAACACATAATAATTTTTGAATAAACCAAAAAAAAATCTCTCATGAAATTCTGCTCTGCATACTTCTCTTCTTACCACCCTCTCCCTTCCCATCCCCTTCCTGAAAACAGAAAAGTGATCAGGTTCTCTGAAAGAATTTTTTTTTTTTTACAAATATCCCATCTTTTGTGTTCAATCTATTCCCACAAGGTCTGCTCAGTGAATGACAAAGTGCTGGTGAAATGGGGCTGAATGAACATCTGTCTGTGAAACAAACTGAATGTTTGACCTTGTCATAACATCTGCAAGAACCGGTTGCCTTCTAACTTGGAGATGGAGCAGATAAATGCATAATAAAAAAAACGAGGGCACAGGAGATAGAAGGGAGAAGAGAGTGGGAGAGAGAAGCAAGCCTCACTGATCGTTATAATAAGTTCGACTTTGTAAATTTGTCCTCTCAGCTCGCTCAACTGCTTCCCCCCCAAAAAAGCTAACACAGAAGTGTAAACAGATCTGAAATTCCATCTGCAAGAAGCCAAATCTGTAGCAGTACACATAAGCAAAGCAAACCCCAGCAATCATTAATTTTAGACTTTCATTTACTTATTTATTTATTTTTTAAGAAAACAACATCAGACATTTGAAATATAATTTACAGCTAGTCTAACAAAAGCACTTTCCTGCTAAAGCTATTTCTGGGGCAGTTATGGCTCAGAATAGATGATGAAAACAGTTATTTCAGAGCACATCTGACAACATTGGACAGGAAGGGACCTATATGCCTCCGTATTTTCCAACCAGTTTTATTTCATCTATATAACCATTTCACAAATTCTGGGAAGTCAAAAGGGGTGAGGGGTGAGTGTGTATGCAATGTACAAATGTATGAATGCAAAAGAAACTATGTTAAAAATAGGACCTTTGAGGTAAGAACTGAACCTCCAGTAGTAAAGTGAACCTTGAGTGTGGGAAAGGGCCTAGCAGAAGGCCTAGACACGGAGGGTGTGCAGCTTCCCTCACCCAAGGCCCCATCTTCCTTTTCGTGACAGGGATGCCAGGTCCCTTTATGGGCAACATTTGTAAAAATAGATGTTGAGTCAACAGATAGAACGACGTGAGTGACTAATTTGCCTTGTGGCATCCTCCAGCCAGTAGAGAAAGGCAGCTCACCTGAGTATTCCATCTTCTCTAGAAAGTCCTGGGAAGTCTCCAGGCAGAGTACCTGGATTTTGGGGCTGGGGACTGAATGACCAAGAACCCCATGTAACTCACTATGCAGGACGTTACTCCAAACAAGACTCTCCTACCTCTGTCTTTTAAGAAACAAAGTCCTTAAGGCTAGATTCTAGGAGAAGTATATTTGGCACATGAAGAGGGAGTGCTAGGAAGAAGCAAATTAAAAATATCATAATGATATGCCCAAGGTAATGAGGCTTACTCTTGCCTCATCAATGACAATTAGGGCTTTGGGTTTCTGAAAACATACCTTTCCACTTCTGTGCCTTTGCTCATGGTGAAAGTCTCCCACTTACTTTCTCAGGTCCAAATCCTATTCTCCTTGAGGCTCAGTTCAAATGCTATCTTTGCTAGACATCTTCCCCGGATCTTACCTCCTTCTAAAGTCCCTCTTCATACCTTAGTACTCTCGGCATGGAACCTTTATTCACCTTCTCTACATCCACTATTCTGAGCTCTTCGGGAAAATGAACTGTGTATCTGCATCTCACTCACCTCTGTGGCTCCAGCACAGAGCCTACTGCCTGGAGAGTGTTCAATATCTACTAAAAGGATAAACAAATACAGGTCCTAATAAATGACTGACATTCATGAGTCTTTGGGGCTAACTGCTGCTTGCTTCATTGTATGGGGTGGGAAGGAATGAAATAAGTTTGTTCTAGGATTAGACATCACTTCAAGATCTTCTCTCAGCAAGAATTTCATGAGGTTCTACTATGAGTCAGGCACAGTATTTTGGAGATAAAGAACAAAAAAAATCAGGCTTACATTCTTGCTCTAAAGAAATTCTAGGTTCAAAGAGGACAGTGATAAAACCAACAGGTACTCAAAAACTATCAGTCAAATGTGAGAAACAAACATTATCACAATGCCACAAGATGTGCACTCTTTCAGGGTGATGTAGAGGTGCAACTGGAACAAAACTAAGAGAGAGACTATTGTCCTTTTCGCTTAAGGTTAATGGAGCCAGGAAGGATACAGAGCTCAGGTGAGACTACTGGTAAGACAGATGGTTTGACAGTGTGTGGCAGGGTCAGGGAAAGGTGCCCTGATGATGGCCTTTCTCTGTTCTTAGCAGAGATGATGAAATCCAAGGGCTAAACTCAGTGCCTGCTTGGCATCCAATAAATTCACTACGGACAGTAATGTTCTTGAATCCATCTGTTCTGGGCAGCCAGAGCAGAGGACAGACCACCTGGGGAAAAGGAGCTTCAAAGGAAAGTCAATGATACAACCAAAGTAATCTTCCCCAAAGATGACATTGATAACCACTGAAACAGACCTTGGTCAGAGAATATCAATCAGTCCCAAAGGTGAACAGCACCTTGATCATTCTCTGCAAAGCCTCTCACTCAAGAAAATTTCCTGATTAATTTTTCTATTCTAACCAGAAGCTTAAATCTACCATTTTCTTAGTTCCTTGTCCAGGATACTTGTAGAAGTCGTGGGGAAAATGACAGAAAAGAAATCTATCCATACTCAATACCAAAATGCTCATCCTGGTGTAGACTTTTCAACTTTCTTAATATATTTATTGCATCCTAACTGAGTGACACAGCGGATAGCTTGCGAGGCTCTGCCGTGCGGGCGGAATACTCTTGGTAGCCATGATAGCCATGTCCACTTGCCGACGTACCAAATTCCACAGGATGGATATGTCGTTCCCAATGTTCTCCCTTCCGAAATCCGACACGCCATTTCATCAGTAAAGAAACGAACAGCACCCGGCCCAGGTCACACCTGAACACCTGAAGAACCTGCCGTCAGTACTCATCAATACACTGGCTCGGCTCTTCACACGCTACCTGTCTGAATGCAAGGTTCCGTCCCAACGGAAAACCAGCAGGACTGTACTACTGTTCAAGAAGGGAGATATCCAGGACATTGGCAACTATCGCCCGATCTGCCTATTGTCTGTCATCTACAAGCTGTTCACTCGAGTCATCCTAAATAGGATTGGCAGAACACTACATGAAGGACAACCATGTGAGCAAGCCGGGTTCCGCAAAGGATTCAGCACCATCGACCATATCCACACGATTAACCAAGCTCATTGAGGTTTCTTGGGAGTTCAAGATGCCAATCTGTCTAACATTCATTGATTTAAAGAAGGCCTTTGATTCTGTTGAGACAGAAGCGGTCATTGGAGCCCTAGCCAATCAGGGCATACAATCTCAATACATCAAGATCCTCCGTGAACTGTATTACGGATTCACTACCAGGATCTCACCATTCTACAAAGAAGTAATCATTGATGTCAAGAGAGGGGTTCAGCAGGGTGATACCATTTCACTAAAACTCTTCAGTGCCACCCTCGAGAACATCATGCAGCGACTGGAATGGGAAGGAATGGGAGTGAAGATAGATGGTCGGCAACTACACCACCTCTGCTTTGCTGATGACATTGTTTTAAACACACCAAACATTAGCCAAGCAGCACAAATGCTGGCCGACTTTGACCGTGAGTGTGGAAAGGTCGGACTACAGGTGAATCTTACGAAGACAATGTTTATGAGAAACAGCCTCATTTCTGATGCCCCATTTGCTCTCAACGAAATGACCATCTCTGAATGCAACAGCTATGTGTACCTAGGTCGAGAAATCAACATGACAAATAACCTGGCACCCGAGCTGCACAGGAGGAAGACAGCGGCTTGGAATGCCTTCAAGAGCATCGAAGAAATAGCTAAGAGGACGAAGAACCTCCGGCTCCGGGCACATCTCTTTGATTCCACTGTTCTTCCTGCATTAACATATGCCTCAGAGACCTGGGCCCTACGCAAACAGGATGAGAACGCTATTTGGGTCTCCCAAAGAGGAATTGAAAGAGCTATGCTTGGAATATCACATTTCACTCAAACGAGAGAGAGAATCCGGAGTTCCAACCTCCGTTGAAGATCAAGAATCAGGGATGCTGTCTCGTTTGCCAAGGTGTCAAAAATCAGATGGGCTGGTCATGTAATGAGATTTAAAGATGACCGCTGGACTAGAGCTGTTACCGACTGGATTCCACGGGATGTCAAAAGACCGCGTGGCTGTCCACCTACCAGATGGTCAGACTTCTTCATCAAGATCCTGAACAATCGGTTTGAGGCTCTTCGTGTTCCTAGAGCGAACAGACGCCATTGGGCTACACTAGCATGCGACAGGGACAAATGGAGACGTTACTGGCACCCGCTTGAGCAAATCAACAATTAACGGGAAGTCAAGTGATCAAGTGAACTGAGTGACTGACTACAGGTGCCTGACATTAATATGCTGAAATATTCCTTTAGAAATCACCAATTTTCAGTCTCTGCACAGAGCCAGGAGTTATTGGTTTGCTAATCCCACTGAGCCAGTGGCATCTAGCTGAGAGCTTCAACTTGGTATGCACTGAGAGAACCTAGTGCCTTTGACAATAAGGATCCTGCTTGCTTCACCCAGAATTTCTGAAGGCAAGATT